TCTCATTATATCATTTACAAGTTACAGAATTTAATTTGCTTCATTAGAACAGAAGTAATTTCATTTTAAAAATACACCGATTTTATTATAAAATTACTATGTTAAATTTTTCTAATAAAATGATCGACAAAATTTCAAAAATCTTACATAGTGCGTTTATCATATAGTGCTGCACTATGTTTGTAAATCATAGGGCGTGGAACACCCCATCCACCGTACTTACATTCTACTCCGGCTGAAATTGAACTAGTACCATTAAGATTACGAAAACATCTATCACTTATCTTTCTCTATTGTTCTCTAGGTCGAACACCTGGAGCCAACCCCTTCTCTGAATACAGAACATTAGTGGGTACTATGAATTACTCACAGAATTTCAATTCCCTAAATTTATACTCGGGTTTATTAGGCGCTTACCTTGCCTCCTCCTCGTCTATTACTCAACCCGAAATTCCTCCTTGGTTTGACAATTCTCTAACCAACGCCACCAATTGGCTTAAAGAAAACAATCCCTACATACGTCAATACTCACTAATGATTCCATCTGTATCAAATTCAAATCTCCAATTTCCTGTAGCTGTTCATTCATCTACCGATGAAAATACTCCTCCGTTTCACCGCGGCGATATAGTAATCCCTCATCAGAACTTTCCTGCTGAAATTCATAACGAAGATGCAAATTATCGCCGACTAGTAGCAGGTTTTATAAATAACGATAATATAAACAGAATCCCAATTGTTCTAAACGATCCACACCTTGAATCGTTACTCTTTCCTGATTTATATCCCGATGGTCGTGGCCATTACTATGATATGCGAAATCAATTAGAAAATTTACGACAACGTCATGACACCTTTGGAAAATACGTGAAACATCGCTTACTTTCCAGAGATCCTCGATTTCGCTTACATTACTACTGGCCTGCATGGGCATACCTACAATTAGAAAAATTCAGAAACTTTCAGAATACTCAACGACTTATGAGACAATCCGCTATTGATGAAGCATATCGTCCACCCACAGCTATTGAAATCATTGAATGCAGTACATATACTGACGGCTGGCGTTACAATGAAACAAAAACATCACCCATCCCCACATTTATTCGCACAGGAGATAGTTACTTTCAAAAAAAAAATATGCATCTGAATACGATGATCCGCGAATTTAATCTTCCTACCTTATTCATTACACTTTCAATAGCAGAAGGCTCATGGACTCACCTCCGCAGAATACTCACCAACACGGATAATAGAGATCCATTACCAACCAACAGACCATTACACACAACATTACACTTTATCCACAGACTACGAAATGTTAAAAAATTTATTTGAAAAGATCCATGTGTTAGTGAATGGGAAACCTATTCTCACTTCTTTGACAGGATCGAATTCCAAAATCGTGAAGCAGCTCACTTACATGGTGTTTACTGGACAGAATCAAACATATCAGAAATGATTAGTTCTGATACCATTAGATCAACTCTTCCAAACCCTAATTTAGAACCAGAACTTTACCAAAAAGTCCGTACTTTCCAAACACACACATGCAATTCAAAATGCGGAGGTCCAGCCCTACCAGGATCAACGTGCAAAAAAGGATTTCCCCGTCCTATTTCCCAATATACATTTTATGACCCAAACAATTACAGATACACTTACCGATGCCTAACACCAAACGATCAATGGATAGTTCCATATCATGCACCCACCCTAATGATATGGAATGCTCATATGAATATCCAATATGTTACTAGTAAAGGACTCACAAGATACATAACAAAATATATAAACAAATCTGAACCTACCCATTTATTCAATGTACATGAGCAAGTACATTATCGTGAATATATCCATGCCCGACGAATGGGATCAATAGAATTGATGTTTTTACTACTTGGTGAACGTATTGTGAACTCATCGATACAAGTCCAATACCTAACCACAGATCCTCCGTCAACTCGGTCCAAAGCAATTATCCCATTATATATGCTTGACTCGCTAGAAGATGACCCATACTGGAACGATAAAATAGAAAAATACTTCGCACGACCACGCAATCCTGTTTTTGATAACATTTTATATAGAACATACTTTGAAACATATGAAATCAAATCAACCAGGCCAAACGCATCCAGAAGAATAATATACTAGGATAATCTCGGAAATTTTGTTGTTGAGCGCGTTAATAAAATACTCACACGCATGCGATCTTTACGAATAGAACACGGTGAACTATTTTTCTATTAACAACTTTTTCTAAAACTCCCGTGCATATCTGAAAATGAAATGTTAAATGGCCACCAAAATTACCGCGATCATTTCCTAACCCGCTTTCCGGATGCTTACCAATCCATCCAAGAACAAAATCATGAATTCACACTAAGACAGACAACACATGCCTTGGATCAATTCAACGACCTTATCGAAACAATAACCTCATCATTAAATCCGATTCTAACAACAAACATCCTTGATATAATAAAAATTCAGTTAGACTCCATAAAAATACTACCCCGAATTATAACTGTTAACTCAATCATAAATCTACCGCCAAGCCAATATTACTGCCGGCAAACAATAAACAATTACCTAGGCCCACAAGACAGATCACATTATCCCTATTTCTTCATCACAGGTTCAGCAGGCACCGGAAAATCCTACATAATAAACCTATTGCTACAAGATTTTCAGAGAATCAACCGTAACTATTTACTATTAGCCCCAACAGGAATTGCCGCGCAGAACATCGGCGGATCAACAATTCATTCTGCACTACAAATAATCTCTAACGAATACGGATTTCGAACTCTTGCTTTTCACAATCAAGAACTAAATGATTCTCTTCTCCAAGTTGATACTCTCATTATAGACGAAATTTCTATGGTATCAGGTCAACTCTTAACATACATCTCTGAACTTTTTGAATCATTACACAAAAACAATACCCCATTCGGAGGTATCAACGTCATCCTTGTCGGTGACTTAGCCCAACTACCCCCAGTCTCTGGCTCTCCCGTATACCAGTCTCCTATATGGAAAATTTTTTATCCTCTATTCCTTCGAGAACCCCAAAGACAAAGTCAAGACACCCAATTCTATGATCTTTTACAAAAAATAAGAATGAGAAAAATAGATAACATGACATGGCAGATTTTATCTCAAAAAAACAATGAAACAATTGAATCACCTGAACTAGACACCACCCTCAATACTACACACATAGTAGGATACAGAGAAAATGCAAACCTAATTAACAGACTAATGTGCACTATGATTCCCACTCAAGAAAACAAATTCATAATTTCCAACTGCATAGACATAATTGATAATAACCTAATACATGATGACAGATCAATGCTCCGTGAATTTAAAAACAAAACCAACTTACCGGAAACAATTAGAATTCAACCTGGCATACGTGTTATGTTTCTCACAAATTCGCAACACCAACATCGAATAACAAATGGTACTATAAATCATTTGCCATCCCTAGTAAAATAAGCTTGTCGGTGAAAACAAGCTTGTCGGTAAATTGAGTGTCGGCGAATTAGCTGTCGGTAAAAAACGTTTGTCAGTAAACTGATTGTCGGTGTAGTGGGATGTCTGTGAAGTGATTGTCAGCGAAATAATACGAACCCATAACTTATAGATATAGATATCGATATTGTTTTGTTTTTGTCAACCCATTATTGCGCTTTCTAGAAAGAAACCCGATATTTTATGATTTGATTAAATAATCAGATTGGTGTGCGTTTGTTGTACAAATAAAATAAAGACTGATTTTTTAATGCCGGGAAATGAATAGTACAGTCAGACCACCCTAAATGCAACTCATTGGGACCAACTTTTGATAGCTTGCGTTTAGAGAACAATAAGAAAAATTGCATTTATGGAAGGTTAGAAATATACTTGGGCCAGAGCTTGAGGTTCCATTTAGAGAGGCATTGCATTTAGGGAGGTTGCATTTAGGGAGATTGCAGATAAAGAGATGACTATACATGGGTGTCTTCTCTTAATGAATAATTATTTTCGACAATTAATCTGTCGAAATTAGTTTTCCTAGTTGGCGAAATTTATTTTCATAATTGGCAAAAAGTTATTGGTGAAATTATTTGAAAAATAGTTAAAAATATAACAATGATGAAATTTTTGGCAAAATAACCATTTTTAAATTTAATTATATCTAAAATTAGCCCATCTATTACACAATGCCTCGTACAATGATTTGAATTCAAATTCATTACAAACATCAATAAACATCAATGCATGCTTTTGTCTGTTCCAGGGGAGTGCATATATGGAGGTTTGACAATATTTCCATTTTAAAATTGAATTTACGTATAAAATGTGATGAAATCGTACATACGTACGTTGAGAGCCTTTGAACTAAAATGACTCTCAATTTCAGTAATGCAAATTTTCAACGTAGAAAATGTGTGTATATTTTTCTTTTCATAATTTTATTCGCAACTTTTTACTTGATAGGACATAAACCATCCTCAAGCTCAAATAACTTAATGGTCCACAAAGAAAAATATTTAACTTACCTTCCCCACGATGGTTTCAATAATCAAAGAATTGATTTAGAAAATGCAATATTTTTAGCATGGTTCTTAAACAGAACTCTAATAATTCCTCCTTTGTTATTTTTCAAAGGTGTTACACCAATCATATCACAACCATATAATGAACTATATAATATTTTAAACCGATTTATGCATCCTAATGATGATTTTAAGAAAAACGAATTTAAATTCTGTTTTAGTGAATATAAAACAGATTGTAATTTTGTATTATGCCTTCGAGAAGATCAAAGCAACTGTAGAACAGTGTCATACACCATGTACAATTGGGAAGAGTTGATGGATTTTACATTTTTGAAGCAACATATCAAATATATTCACCGTCAAGATTTTAATTATGAACATTTACTAGAATTACTTCAAATTTATGACGATAAAGATGTTTATAATGTAACTAATGATCAATCACAATATCAACAACGATATTATGATGACCCTACATCAACAAAAGCACTCGGTAAATTCAAAGAACGAGTAAATTTAATCGATTTAAGTAAAAGAACCGAAAAATTATTACATTTTGGAAGTGTATTTTCATCGATTAGAATTGTTCAAGAATTACCTGAAAGCAAATAATTTAATGAATGAATTGGTACCGAACAATCCAACGATAATCAATATTGTAAATAGAATTATTGATATAATTGGAGGAACTAATAATTTTATTGGAGTACATGCAAGATTAGGAGATGGTTACTTTGCCAGGAGTCAAAATAAAACGATAAATGGGATTATCGAAAAAATTCAAACAGATTTTGAACATATTGACATAAAAAATGATAGTACTTGTTTACCAACAATAATATTCCTAGCAACAGATGTAAAACATAATCACAAATCTCTTCAACCATTCTTTCAAACTTTTCCATGTGTATATATGTTAGATGATTTTAATGATTTATTAGAACCTTTAAAATTTTTGAAAAATCCTAAAGATGGTATGATTATGTATGATTACTTCATACCTTTGGTAGATTTGTTAGTAGCATCAAGAGGCAACAAGTTCTATCAAACACCTAGAAGTACTTTTTCAAGATATGCTCAGCGGCTAAATAAAGTGAATTTGAATTATCTTCAATAAATAATAAATCATTTTTAAACGTCTATAATAAATTATCACAAAATAAAAATTAATCGATTATTAAATTATGTACCCTATGACAATATATATATTTTTTTACTGTAGATCGATCATTTCTAACTCCTAGCCAACATCAACTCATAAATTGGCCAGCTTTATAAACACAATCGCAC